GATGAAAGTGCTTTCGAGTACTCGCCCATGTTATCATACACCAACCCAATGTTGTTGTAGGAACCAGCGAAGTCGGGATGATTCGGAGGGAGAGATATTTTCTGGATTTCAAGTGATCGTTCGTACGATGAAAGTGCTTTCGAGTACTCGCCCATGCTATCATACATCGTACCGATGTTGTTGTAGTCAGGAGCCAAGTGGGGATGATTCGGAGGGAGAATTTTCTCGTTGATATTCAGTGCCTTTTCGTAATATAAAAGTGCTTTCGGGTACTCGCCCATGTTAGCATACACCCAGCCAAGTTGATGATTGTATTCCGCTCGCTCTTCATCAGAAGACGCCTTTGCAAGGAGGATCTGATAGAGTTGTTCTGCTTTTGCAGGTTCGCCCACTTTAATAAGTATGTACCCAAGTCGAGACCATCCTGTGCGCCCACCAAGGTCCTCACGTATGTGTGCAGTAAGTGTGTTCAATTCGTGATTGTCATTACCCACAATAGTGAGAGTGACTTCGTATAGCCGATCACAGTGATTATCGTGAATTTGTTCAATGCGATCGATACGAAAAATTGTATGTGTTGAAAATAGTATTTCTTCCTCTTTATCTTTGTAGTAGCCAACTTTGCTTACTTCAGCAAATGGTGTTGATGTTTTTGTGCAAATAGCCGTATTGATGTTCATAATGAAAAGTATGCCAACTGAATTAGGATTGTTTGTCGCTGGTCGTGCAAAGTTGTTGAAAGATATCTGACGATTTCGACTTGTTGACAGGAAATTGTTGAAGGACATAAGTCCTCCTTTGGTTTTTTTCATTTTTTCAAAATCTTCCATGGACAAACCTTGTCCACGGAAGACTTGAAAATTTGTTGGCATGTTCCCTTGTTGTTCACTATGTAATTCTTTAATATGTTGATGTAAATGACGGATGAAGAAGCCCATTTTAAGGATGATGTCAACATCCATTTGTCGGAGTCCACGATTGAGCATGGGATAAATAAATGTCTCCGCTGTATACCACCATATTGGTGTATAGTCACGATATTCATTTTCGACCTTCCTAATTTGACCTTCATCAATATCATCTTGTAGACGACAGTACTCTACGAGATCTTTAATCGATTTGACATCGTCATCTTCAATTTCCAAAAGTGCTTCTTTGAATAATTGTGTATACATAAATAAAGCATCAATGCCATTATAACTGATCGAGATCATAGATCGATCACAATTTTCACCATCGATTTGCAAGGCCTTACAGATCGGTTTGATTTTTGTGTATGTGCCTTTAATCTTTGGTACTTTATTGGCCCATTGCTCATGATGAGATTTATTGCGACAAAAAACATACACAGATTCTAATTGTGGCATGGATTCAATATCTGTTACTATTTTTTGTCCAAGTGAGCCTGACACAATCATAAATACCTTTTCATTTGTAATGGCACTGAGAAAGTCAATGCATTCTTGAGCATCTGTAAATGTTTCGATGCTTGCTACAACACGTCGCAAACGTCGAAACGATTTCTTGAAATCGTCCTTGGATTCATCCAACTTGGCATCAAGCCATAGAAGTCGGAAATTTTGAAGAACCCGACGCATAGGTCGAGACAACACAACAGCAGCACGATTGTTCGCGTTGGTAATAGTGGTGGTGCTAGGCATCGCTGCTGCACCACTGATAACAGTTGTTGTCGATTTTTGTTTGCTCATTGTAATTGAACGAATAAATATAATCAGTGAAACGTAGTCCTCCTATATTTATAATTGTTAAATTTCTTTTTTGGTTAACATCATTCTTTTTCTGACTTATAGCTACAGACTTCAAGGATCTCTACTATCTGGATCATTTCTGTTTCAAGAGTGTTACTGACAAAATGATGATAACGGATGAACCAAGTCTCTATACATCGAACCATAAATAAAGAAGAATGGCTAAGGAAACAAATAGTCGCTGAGGATGGACGACATGACTAGTCCGAAATGTCGAAAATACCTGTCCTAACTAGTTATCCTGACATGAAAACTCCTGCAGCTACGTCTGAACTAGTCCAGAATGTCCTCAAACTTCGACATATCTAACCCGTTTCTCTATCTAATCAGTCCAGATTAGTCGGTAGACCAGAAAAAAGAGTATTTCTAAAAGTAAAAATTGTGCCTTTCATTACCGGTACTCGCGTTGAAATTTATGCATAGAAACAGTTACTCTGTTTAACATGTTTTACAATAAGACTGTTTTATACATACAAGATTCTGCAACCAAGACAATCGATTGCATGTTCTGAGTAATATCAAGCGAAGTTCTCTTAAAACTATTTAATAAACATAAAAATAACACATGTTTATGTACCGTCATTTTTTTGTGTGTAGCTACTGTTTACTTTTAACTTTAATTTTCTTACTAGTCTAATAATGTTAGAAACTATTATCCATTTCAAAATAAAAGAGCCGTGGCCATTTTTTGAATAACTTTTCACAGGAACAAGATAGAGAAGTGCGGTTTTCGCCATTAGAAAGAGAAGAATAAGGCACATCAATGCATGCTAAAATATGATTGGTTAACAATTGACCAATCAAGTGCATTCTCGATGGACATTTTGAGCACCCTTCTCTAGAGCCATTTCTCAACTTAACTGTATTTGTTAATTTAGTTTTTGGTAGGAAAAATTGTTCTCTTTCGATCTACGCAAAGCCGACCTTCGTAGCTTGTTCCGTTCAAGAGTTATAAGGGTTTTCCTGAGACCCCTGATTTCAGCCAATTGACCTTGGATCAATCAGAAAACCATCTGGAACGGGGTTTTTCATCATGCTGAGTCCAATGGTGATATTTGTTTTTGGATTCGAAATCATCTTACGGTGTTATCTCAATATTTCCAAAATATGGGCTCATATGAGACAGCGGTAGATATTGTGAAGTGTAGAAAATTTCTAAAAAACAGTGTAAGATGGTTTCAAATCCAAAAACAAATATCACCATTGGACTCAGCATGATGAAAAACCCCGTTCCAGATGGTTTTCTGATTGATCCAAGGTCAATTGGCTGAAATCAGGGGTCTCAGGAAAACCCTTATAACTCTTGAACGGAACAAGCTACGAAGGTCGGCTTTGCGTAGATCGAAAGAGAACAATTTTTCCTACCAAAAACTAAATTAACAAATACAGTTAAGTTGAGAAATGGCTCTAGAGAAGGGTGCTCAAAATGTCCATCGAGAATGCACTTGATTGGTCAATTGTTAACCAATCATATTTTAGCATGCATTGATGTGCCTTATTCTTCTCTTTCTAATGGCGAAAACCGCACTTCTCTATCTTGTTCCTGTGAAAAGTTATTCAAAAAATGGCCACGACTCTTTTATTTTGAAATGGATAATAAATATACTTACGTGCTATGCAATATTGGAGTGTAGCAAATTTTGTTTTGTGGGCTTGCAATCGATTTTGTTCTGTATTCATCATTGACAAAATTACTTGGCTTTTTCCCACAAACGTATATTTACATGAATCAATGAAGCATGACTTTTTCATCATGTAAACGACTTTTTTGACCATGTGTTCGTCATAAAATGCGTTTCGTTTTTCATATATTCTACTTCTTCTTTTTTTACCTTACCTTTGCGTTTCGTGTTGTTGCAATGATACAATATACACTGATACTTGTATAAGCGTAAATTTGAGTTATGATGATTCATTAGGCTTTGAACTTTATTCTAATGTATATAAATATTTTCTATCGTAAAATTTGTTTTTTGAAATTGATAATTATAGAAGTAGTGTTGAAAGCTTCAAAATAAATAAATAGAAAATTTTATATTTTTTATTTTATCGTTCGATGTATGAAAAACTCTATTTACCACTCAAACTTCGTTAGATGCATCCGAAGAAAGTATGGCGAATGTGCTTTAAGAAGAGTCAGGCATTTTGAGAGGTGGGTGCGAGTGTTTGTATTGCTTATCCCTACACACCCCGATCCTCAATTACTTGGTTTAAATATCTAAGAATTTCAATCATAATCCAGCAATAATCAACAACCAATAAATAGAAGTAAAAATATTGATACAAATCAACAACATCTTTCAATCAGTATTCAACAAATAATGAATGATTTTAATTTCAATGTAAATCTTTTTTTAGTGTGTTGATACGATATGTTATATTTGTTTACAACATAATGATCATAATGTTGTATCAAGTTCATTGGAAACACTTGAAATTATACTTAAATATTCAAATTTATTTGATTTTGATCAATTATTAATTTAACTCAAATTGGATCTATAGAAGAAAATCGTGTTAGTGAAGCCTTAAAAACAGGTAAATATTGAGAAAAAAAACAAGAATTTTTTTCATTTATTTTTTTTTTCTAAAACAATAGCTTATTCAACATATCAACGTTGATTTATTGAAATGAATGATGAATTCGATTCAACATCAATGATTAATAATGAAAAACGAACATCAGCTGCTAAGCTTGTTAATCAATTATATTTGTTTTTCCGATTAGATATATACTTAATATGAATGATACGATAAAAAGTGA